TTTGGGCTGGGGATATAGCTCAGTGGCATAAGCGCCTGCCTGGCGAGCACAAGGTCATGAGTTCAATCCCCAGTACCTCAAAAAAAAAAAAAAAAAAAAAAAGACTTCCACTTTTCTATCAACTCGGCTGCTTCTGGATGGTGAAGAACATAGTATTACCAGTGAATTCCATAAGAATGAACCCATTGCCTCACTTCTTTGGATATTAAATGTGTTCCTTGATGTGAGATCCAGTGCTGTGTGGAATTCCATGAGAGTTGATAAGGCATTACGTGAATCCATGGAGGAGAGTTTTTGGCAGAAGTATTGCTTTCAGGAAAGGCAAATCCACATCCAGAAGAAGAATCTATGCCAGTAAGTAAAAAGCACACACCCTTCCATGATGAAAGCTGTCCAATATAACCCATTGGCCATCAGGTCAAGAGCTGATCACTCAAGTAAATGGTGCCATATTTAAAATCAGTGTTGATGTTTGCTGCTGGAATATTGGGCAGCCTGTAATGGTTGTAGATCAGGCTTTGTGTGTGGGAGTGTGTGTTGCAGAGCATGAATATCCTACATCCCTACCAAAATGGCCACTCTGTTCATGAGCCCATTGGTCAAAGAGAGGGATGGCTTAAGAGAGAAGTTGACTACTACCTACAGAATGAGTCATCTTATCCCTTTGATTGTTATTATCTTCCTTTGCAGAGGTCATTTTGGTGAGGGTTTACATGGGATACAAATATTTTTACATCCTTTTCCCACTTACAGAGGTCTATGCACATATCTCATCTAAACATATTGTTGTCACCAATTTTCCAGTTATGTTCCTCCAAATTGCTAAACACTCAATCAGAACATTGACTACAGCTCAGGAGTCAGTACAGTCATACATCTGCACATTTTTCCCTCCCAGGCAAAATATACTAACTGAAGCACTGCCTGAAGTTCTACCCACTGTGAATATTTCTGTTCACCACTGTCCATCATTGATGTCCTAGAAAGGGATTATAATGCTGATGCTGCCTAACTGCAGGTGGTGCTGGCATAACATGTTGAACCATCTGTAAACATGGGCTCTCCTTTTTCTCTAAAAGCTGATCATATTATACACCCCATGATGTCATAGGTGCATGCTGGGAAACAGAAGGTGATTATGCAAGAGCAGAAGCCATGGGTATCTGAGGAACTTTTCATGTAACTTACTTGTGGTCTCTTGACCTGCTTTCATTGGATCACATATACCCTATTTTTATTTAATCATAGAGATCTGCAGAGCATGTTCTACTTAGGACTTATTAGATCAAATAGTACCCAACTCATGATTGGCAGCGCAGGGCCCATGGTAACCTGGTGTCCCATGGTCAAGCATATAGTTTCCACTAAGGCCCAGTAGCAGGCCAAGAGCTATTTTTCTACGGGAAGTAACTTTCTGAAGGAAAAAGTTAAAGCATAAATTCCTAACTAATTTGTAGGAGAAAGTAGAGTAATTGTTTACAGATGGTGGCAGGTTCTTGCTACAAAATCTTAAAAGTCTCTCAGATTTTACGAATTATAGTCATCCCTTTGTGAACAATTATGCATTGTGGACATCATGCACACGATGACAATGTCCTTAAAATTAAAACTGAATTCCCACTTTCCAATCAGATTTTAGCCTGAGGTGTCCACTTCTTGATTACTATTGTGTACTGATGATTCAGTGAAATGATTTTCAGTGCAATGCAGCAAGAACTCTCAGGATTTCTTGCTACTGAGTTCCACAGCAAATGCTTTACAAGTTTACTAAGGACACC